CAGATACTCTCAGCATTTAAAGCTACAAGCTTCTCAAAATGGCCACAGCCAGTCCCGAACTGTTTACTAATAAGGAAAAGGACAGAACAAAGAGTGTGGATTGGGAGAGAGAGTTTAAAAACAGAAGAGGCCGAAAATTAAGTCCCAAAAAACAACATAAGAACCAACAGTGGCATCTTGAAGTTTATCAGGCAGGCTTAAAGGCAAGAAGCTGAAAGGATATTAAAATCATACTCATATTAGGCTACAATTTTTTTTTTCTTCTCTCCCTCCTCTCCCTTTTCTGCGATTATAGACTACAGTATCCAATCTAGTTTTTTTTAGTTATTGTTTTTTAGTGTTTTTGTTTTTTTACCTTTGGGGGACTCATTTTCTCCCTATATTACCCAAGAAGAAACAGCAATTACTGCCATATAGTTAAGCTACAATCACACCTTATAAAACCCCACAACCCAGGCAAGAACCAATACCAATTGCTATACATCAGGGAGGCAGACAATATCTGCAAAAATACTCTGAGTTAAGAAATAAGACAAGTGAAAAGGGAAGCCTATATCCTGATCACATCTACCTGGAGGCAATCAGAAAGCATAAAAAATACCAAAAACACACACTCAATTAAATGTTAAGATCCAAGAAGCAAAAGCACACGACCATATTCAACACATGTCCAGAAACAACATAAAATGTCTGAGTCAAATGACCTAGAGGTAGACCTGGACGAAAGCGATATTGAAAGGACAATTTATTGCAATAAATGCACACATCCAAAAAGAAGAAAGAACTAAACTTAACACATTAACACAGCATCTACAATAATTAGAAATAGACCAACAGAGAGATCCTACAGCCACCAAAAGAAATAAAGTAGAAATAAATGAGCTCGAAAACAAAAACTATAGAAAGAATCAACAGGACAAGAAGCTGGTTCTTTGAAAGGATTAACAAAATCGACAGAGCATTGGCAAATCTAACAAAAGAAAAGAGGGAGAGTATACAAATAACACGCATTAGAAACCACGTGGGTGATGTCACAAAGGAACAAAAGGAAATCAAAAGGATAATTACAGAATACTATGAAGAGTTGTATTCCAACAAATTTGAAAACTTAGAAGAGATGGATACATTTTTAGATAAACACAACCTACCTAAACCTACACACAGTGAAGTAGAACACCTGAACAGACCCATAACAAAAGAAGAAATTGATCAGGTTATCAAAAGATTCCCAACCAGAAAAAGTCCAGGTCCAGATGGCTTCACTGGTAAGTTCTACCAAACATTCAGGGAAGAGCTGTCACCAATTCTACTCAAATTATTCCAGAAGATAGGGGAGGAAGGAAAACTTCCTAATACATTTTATGAAGCAAGCATAACTCTCATACGAAAACCAGGGAAGGACGTAACTAAGAAAGAAAATTATAGATCAATATCCCTCATGAACATAGACACAAAAATTCTCAACAAAATCCTAGCCAACAAAATCCAACTAAACATCAAAAAGATAATACATCATGATCAAGTGGGATTCATATCAGGGATACAAGGATGGTTCAACATTAGAAAAAGGATCATTGTAATTCACCATATAAATAAGAAAAAAGAAAACCACGTGATCATATCATTTGATAAAGAAAAGGCATTTAACAAAATCCATCTTCCATTCCTGATAAACAACAAAATAGGAATTGAAGGGAAATTCCTCAGCATAATTAAGAGCATATATACAAAACCAACAGCCTACATTACTCTCAATGGAGAGAAACTGAAAGCCTTCCCTCTGTGAACAGGAACCAGACAAGGATGCCCTTTGTCACCACTCCTATTCAATATTGTGCTGGAAGTTTTAGCAAGAGCTATACGGCAACAGGGAAATTAAAGGCATCCAAATTGGCAAAGAGGAAGTAAAACTCTCCCTATTTGCAGATGATATGATCCTATACAGGGAAGGTGGTGAGAAGAGTATGCCACTGTTTGGAAGGGAAACGCCCCTCCAATAGCATGTAATGTCCATGAGGAAGGTTTTTTTTTTCTTTCTTTTGCTTGTTTTAGCTGTGTCCTCTGCAAAATAATTCGCAACTTGATGGCAGAGCCCCACACATGCAGACACATCACAGTGGAGCATATCAGGCGTATGACAACATTGCTCCAAGCCTAAAATGATGCCAGGCAGAGAGTGGGTGTGTCACACAGAATTGCTGAATGAATGAATGTTGTTGTTGTTGTTAACTGCCCTCGAGTCAGTTCCAACCCATAGCGACCCTGAACAGGGTTTCCAAGGCTGTAAATCTTTATGGGAGCAGAAATCTTCATCTTTCTTCTGCGGAGCAGCTGGTAGTTTCGAACTGCTGACCTTGCGGTTCATAGCCCGATTCGTAACCACTATGCTACCATAGCTCCTTTCAGAATAGGACTTCTCTTGTATCCAAATTTCTGGGGAGTATTTTGCAGGTGCCTCCTGCCTTGGCTATATTCATCTCTCTGGTTCAGCTCCTCCTTACCCACAGTTCATTTTGTGTCTGACCACCTCCCTTCCATTCTGGCCTCCTATCAAGCTGTGTCTGCAGAAGAGAGAGAGGAGTAACATGAATTTCCAGGTGCCCACCCCACAGCTCCAATGATCATCAACTGCAGTCAGTCTTACTTAATCTGTATCCCTGTCCCTCCCTCCCTCCACGTACCTTTTCTGCATTATTTTCAACAAATCCTGTAAATACCTCAGGAGTCCCTGGGTAGCAGAGTTAAGCATCTGACTCCTACCCAGAAGGTTGGAAGTTCAGACCCACCCAAAGGTACCTTGGAAGAAAGGTCTGACAATCTGCCCCCAAAAGGTCACAGTCATGACAACCTTGTGTGGACACGTCTGTACTTCATGGGCTTGCCTTGAATTAAAACTGGTTAGATCACCATTGGGACAGACTTGGTGACAACTGGTTTGGTCTTTTTAAAATTGCTTTATAAATACCTCAATGTGTTTCTCAAAACAAAAAAGTATAACCACAGTACCATTAGGGGACCTCCTCCCCACCCCCAGTTCCCCCACAGTGCCGGAGTGCTTCCACACACCCAGCTCCTGGAGAGTTGGGGAAGCCTGGGTGTTACCTGAACCTGCAGAACTGGCTGGGTTCCTGAGCTGCTCCCGGCCATTGGGTAGGAATTTACCCCACACAGCAAAGCAAGAGAAGGGCTATGGGGGTGGGGGCAGCGGGGAAGTGCCGCTGGGTGAGGCAAAGGCAGGCAACTGCAAATTATCTGCATTTCTGGAACAACTAGAGCACTTGGCAATGAGGTATCCACAAAGCGGACTCTGGCCTTTGATGACAGAGCACAGGGTGAGGGGTGCGCTCCCCAGGCTCCTAGAAAGGTAGACAACAGAGCACCTGTGTACCACGTGCAAGATGAATTATCATGGGAACCTGAGTTGAAAGTCTTCCTTAGGGTTTTGACCCTGAGCTTCCCAGACCTTGACTCCCTTCCCCTCAAAGCCCTGGGATCCCAGAAGAAAGAGGAGTGGGCGCTCAGTTTGGTTTAGCCCAACTCCCTCACCCTGGGGTTGATGATTATCAAATATCTAAAAAGCAGCCAATGAGGAGGCCCCTGAGGCCTGATTTAAGAGGTGGAGCGCTCTGAGCAGTCTCTTCTGGATGCAGTCGGGTTGGAGGCAGGTGAGAGGACTTGGGTGGAAAACCCTGGATTTTCAGGACCTACTTTTGTACCTCAGGGCCAGGCCATTTTTGGTGTTTGGTTCCTACGACACCTCAGCAGCTTCAAAAGCTGCAGTTAGGGAAAGGAACCTTTGCTGAGCCTTGTACTTACACAGGGGATTGCCGTGATGTATGGTCCAGGAAGTCGAGAACTCCAGTAAAGGAGAAGAGGGGTTGTGGGGAGGGCATTACAAAGTATTGAGCATTGACTTTGTGCTAGTATTTTATATAGAAGGATAAGTCAAGAAGTATTGCTACCAGGGTTCCAAGTGCACACATGCATGGCTTCATTCTAATGTGTGTTTAGAGATGTCTTTGTGATCATTGGATAGCTGCAGACAAGTTTTCTCCGTAATACATTGTGTTAGTCTCATTAGAGCCTAAAGGAGCCCTGGTGGTGCTGTGAGTTAAGCATTGATCTGTTAACCACACACAAGACTGGTGGTTCAAAAGCACAAGCCAAAAAAAAAGGCACCAGCCAGTGGGAAAAGGATGAGGTTGCTTGTTCCCATAAAAATTTACAGTGTGGGAAATCCTAAGGAGCAATTCTATGCTGTCCTATAGGGTTGCTGAGTCAGAATCAACTTATAGAGGGTAAGTCTAGTTAGGGTTCCTTCAAAAAAAAAGGGGGGGGGTCTATTCTAAACAGTGACCTCGAAGGGTATCTGTGGGGCCAGTTACATTTAAAACAGCAAGGTCATCTCAGAAGTTTATGGTGACTAATATTTGAGATTCCCATGAGCTAATAATCTTAATAGATTTTCTTAAAGGACACAGGACAATCACCAAGGCTTATTGTAAGTTTTTAGAAAATGGAAAACTGCCTTGATGAGAAAAAGGTCAGCAAAATTACACAGATAATTTTTTTCCATCACCATAATGCACCTGGCTCATTCTTCAATGACAGCAAGGGCTGTCTGTTATTTCTGTTTAATAAACAACTCTATGACTTTAATATTGACTTAGTCCCATAGACTAGTCTATTAAATCCTTAGAACAACCCTAGAAGGCAGGGTGTTTTACTCTTTTCGATAGATGAAGAAACCAAGGCTCAGAATGGCTAAGTGACATGTCTAAGATTGCACAGCTAGAAAGGGGTGGAGTCAGGATTCAAATGACTGGGCCTTCTCCCACAAGTAGTGGCCTGCTTCCTGTGGGGAGAAAGCAGGACACCATTGAACAGGGTCTCCCTGTTCCTGCAAGGCTGGAACTTCAGGTTTTCCTCTTTCCTCCTCAGAACAGCCTACCCAACCACTCTCTCGTGGTCTTTGAGATTTCAGTCACTGAGGTCTGACCATGGCTCCTTACCACATCCGCAAATACCAGGAGAACGACCGCAAAGGGGTCTTGGACGTATTCTCCGCTGGGCTGATCGAGTATGCCCCCACCACCTTCCGCCACATCCTGAAGCTGCCCCGAACCCTCGTGCTCTTACTTGGGGGGCCTCTCACCATATTCCTGGTCTCTGGCTCCTGGGTCCTGCCCCTCATGACCAGCCTTGCCCTTCTCGTCGTCCTGAGGCTCCTTGCTAAATATCCCTGGACTGAGTATGGAGTTAGAGCCTTGAACACAGACATGTCTGACATCACCAAAACTTACCTCACTGAGCAAGGTTCCTGCTTCTGGGTGGCCGAATCTGAGGCGCAGGTAGTGGGTATGGTGGGCTGTCTGCCAGCTGAGAATCCAGCCTTGAGGAGGAAGCAGTTACAGCTGTTACATCTCTTTGTGGCCTTGGAGCACCGGGGCCAGGGGATGGCGAAAGCCCTGGTAAGGACTGTCCTCCAGTTTGCCCATGACCAGGGCTACAGCGAGGTGATTCTTTCTACCAGCGCACTGCAGCACTCCGCCCAGGGCCTTTATGAGAGCTTCGGCTTTCAGAAGATGCACAGGCTATACTATTCCTTGATCTGGAGGGTAATCGCTGTTCCTGGGACTTACTTTATCTACCACCTGCCCACCTCTCAGGTGCCGCAAGCCCCGCAGCAGGGAGAGGACCTGTGATGTGATTCGTGTATCTTCATCAGCAGTGGATGGATTCCCCTGTAGTAACAAGCAAACCCTGAAGTCTTTGTGCAATAAAAACTTATTCCTCATGCACAGCTGCATCCAGCATGGGTGTGGGTGTGGGTGTGGGTGTGGGTGGTATTGTGGGAGGTGGGGGAAGGAGTCAATCAATCTTTTTGGGTTGCTTCTATTTTATTTATCTGGTGCCACAGTTTTGTTGTTGTTAAGTGCCGTCAAGTCAGTTCTAACTCATAGTGACCCTGTATAGGGTTTCCAGGTTTAAATCTTTGCAGGAGCAAAACAAAAAACAAAAAAAACTTCATCTTTCTCCTGCAGAGTTTGGTGGGCTCGAAGTGCTGACTTTGTGGTTTCCAGTCCAATGCTTATCCTACAGAACCACCACACAATAATGATGCATAAAAACAACCACGAAGCAATAATGCACATTTATTTAGTTGTGAGTCTGTGGGTCAGCAGTTTAGGCTGGATTTACTGTGATGTCAGAGAGCCTTGCTCCCAAGTGTGCTGGAGGTTGGGGTGGGTGGGTGTGGGTGTTTGCTGGCCGTAGTGACGGGGTGACTGGCCCTGACTCATTTTCCAGCACGCTGCTCAGGCACTTTCATGCAAACATGCACACACATACACATATGCACACACACCAAAGGACCTCAAACAGTTCATGGGAAACTGCTGACCTTGCGGTTAGCAGTCCAGTAGTTATCCTACAGCTCCACGCCGGGACTTTCTCTCTCTAGATCTCAAAACATATGCCAATTTAGCAGTTTTTACATGTGTAATTCAGAGACGTGGATTATGTTCATCATGTTGGACAACCATCATCACCGTCCCTTTTCAGATGATTCTACCGCCATTCAGTCAATGTTAGATGTGTTTTAAGGTTATCGCAGAAGAGCAAACAGGAAAGCAGAAACTAGCAAGTGTCTTTTCAGGCCTCTGCAGGTGCCCATCTGCTAGCATCCCAGACTCAGGGTAGGGAGTGCCAAGGGGCAAAGAAACAGACAAGTACTAAAGTGTCTTAATGTGTGTGTGGGGGGTGGGGGTGGGGGAATGGGAGAAATACTGGACACCCAACCTGTTTATGGATAGAGGGCTTCCAAGAGGGGATAGGGCTTCTGCTCAGAAAATAGATCTAGGAACAGCCCCTGCACACACTCCCAGCCGTACTGACCTGCTTCTTTCTAGTTCTTTCAATAAACTCAATTCTCCCTCTGGGCTCCAGGCCTGCAGCTGTCTGCTCCCATTCCCTCTTGTCTGTTCAACTCCTCCTGTTCCCAGCTGAGTGACTGGTATATCTGGGTTGGAGGGGAGCAAGCAATTCATCCTGCTTTTGTCCTGGCTACTATTGGTACTCCAAGTGTGGCCCCAGGCCAGCAGCAGTCATGATGCCAGAAGTGCTGACCCCTGGAGTGTCCTCTGCCCATTGAAATTTGAGTAAAGATGAGCTTCTGACGTGCTTCCAATGGAAACAGAATACGAAGTTCCTCATCTACACAAGATTCATTATTGTCCTAAGTTACCTTCGAGCCAACTCTGACTCATGCCACTCGAGTGTGCGGAGTATACTGCTCCACAGAGCTTTCAGTGGCCGAGATTTTGGAAGTAGATCACCAGACCTTCTTCCAAGAAGCGTTTGAATCACCAATTTTTCTGCTAGCAGCTAAGCACTTAACTGTTTGCCACCACCCAGGGCCTCCTATAAGACAAATTGTGTTATTTTTAATCCTGGACAGCTGTAGATTCTTCTAAATGAAACGTGGTGGTCAACCTTCTACATGTTTTTGGTCCCACAAGTCTTTGGCTTCACCTCAGACTTAGGGAAGCCAGGGGTCTCCCTGCTGGTTGCTGTTCTCTGCTGGCTGCCCATGCTGAGATACTGATGGGTGCTCTGGCCACCAGGGAGAGAAGCCAGAGTCCCAGGCTTCCTGGATCCTCTTCAAAGGACTAAAACCATTTCATTGTCTATGGAGTTTTAGATAGTTGTTTCCTGAAGGAGTCAGGTAAGGAAATGCGTGTGTGTGGATTGTGGAGACAGGTCAGGTTAGTGTGGGTCAAGGAGAGCAGAAGATTGACCTCAGACCTCACAGTGAAATTTTTTATCTGTCATAGCTCCAGTCTAAGTATGTTGTTGTTATGTGCCATGGAGTCGGTTCCGACTCATAGCAACCCTGTACAGGGTTTCCGAGGCTGTAAATCTTTACGGGAGCAGACAGCCTCATCTTTCTCCCACAGAACAGCTGGTAGTTTCAACTGCTGATCCTGAGGTTAACAGCCTAATTCATAACCACTACACTAGTGTAAGTATGGAGATGCCAAGAGGCCCTAGAGAAGAATCTAGCATGGCTACTGGGGCTGTGGGGAGGGAGGACAGGGAGAGACAGGGAAGGAGGGTTTCTTTGATGAAACATTTTGGAACTTGATAGAAGTGGTAGCTACATAACAATAAGAATATATTAAATGCCACTGACTTGTTCACTTTGAAATGGTTCATTTTATGCTTTGAGAGTTTTAGCTCAAAGATAAAAATTAAAAACAGCTCAGATGGCCCTGACACCCATGAAGAGGATATAAATGTTGGCGGGATTAAAGATGTTGAGAGAGTTTTTTCCAGAGGGTTGATGCTATACTGGAGCTCCTATGGCTCAATGGGTTATGCACTGGGTTGCTAACCCCAAGATCAGCAGCTTCGTCTCTCATACTTTGGACATATTGTCCGGAGGGAACAATCGCTGGAGAAGGATGTCATGCTGGGTAATGTGGAGGGTCAGAGACAAAGGGGAAGACCCCTAATGAGATGGATCGGCCAGGTGGCATCATTGATGGTGTCAAGTGTGGCAGCGGTAGTGAGGTTGGCCCAGGATCGGACATTATTTCGTTCTGCTGTGCATGGGGTCGCTATGAGTCAGTTCTGACACGATGGCACATGACAACAACAACAACAACAACAATGTGATGGCTGGAGTCACTGGAGTCCTGGTGTGGCGCTGTGGGTTAATGCACCAGACTGCAAAGCCGTTTGAACTGCAAGGTCGCCAGTTCAAACTCACCAGATGCTCCTCAGAAACCCTATACAGGGTCACTATGGGTTGGGATCAACTCAACAGCACTTAACAACAACAACAAATCTGATGGCTGAGTCCTGGTGCAGGTTAATGGGCTGGATGACAAGATCAGTTTGAACCTCAAGATTGGTATGTCAAGCTCACCAGTCGTTCCTTAGAAACCCTATTCAAGGTCATTGAGTTGGAACCAACTTGACGGCACTTAACAACAACAACGTTATGGCCGGAACTGTGGGTGCCTTGGCAGGGCCAGACCAAATGTTTTCATAGGCCTCATATGGCCCATGGGCCGTATGTTCCCCACCTCTCTTTTAGGTGCTATTGTAAATGGAAGTGTTTTCATAATCTCCTTGTCATCTTGTTCATTGTTGGTGTATAGAAATGCAACCAATATTTTTGTGTTGATCTTGTACCCTGTATGTTTGCTTAATTCATTTATTACCTGTAGTAAACTTTTTTGCAGATTCTTTAGGATTTTCTGATTATAGGAGTATCATGTTATCTTCAAATAACATTTTACTTCTTCCTTTCTGACTTGATTGCCTTTTACTTATCTTGTCCAGTTATTTCAGTACAATGTTGCATAGCAGCGGTGAGAAAAGGCTTCCTTGTCTTGTTCCTATCTTAGGAGGAAAGCCCTCAATTTTTCACCATTTAGGATGATGTTAACTGTGGGATTTTAATAAATGTCCTTTATCATGTTGAGAAATTTCCCTTATAGTCTTACTGTAATGAGTGTTGGATCTGGTCAAATGCAGTTAATTTGTTTTCAAAACCATCCCAGAAAATAAAAGCAATGCTTAAGCTAAGATGGGGACTTCATGAATTTACACTTAAAAAGAATCTTTACTGGGACAGAGTTCATGAGTTACTTTTTATATGTATTACAAACCACTCAATTACCATCTGAACAAAATCAGTGTGAATTGTTCAGGTTAGTATGTTGTGCTTGGTGCTGTGGAATGGGTTCTGACTCATAGTGACCTATGTACATTAGAATGAAACACTACCCAGTACTGTGCAATGCTCCCCATAGGTGCTGTTTGACCCCATTGTTGTAGTGAATGTCAATGCAGCTCATTGGGGGTCTTCCTCTTTTTCCTACCCCTCAACATTTCCAAGCATGATATCCTTCTCCAGGGACTGGTCTTTCCTGATCACATGTCCAAAGTATGTGAGACAAAGTCTTACCATCCTCACTTCTATGGAACATTCTACCGTTTCAAAACAGATTTATTCATTCTTCTGGCAGTCCAAGTTATAATCAATATTTTTTGTCAATACCATAATTCCGATGCACCAGTTCTTCTTTGTGTTTCTTTATTCATTGTCCAATTTTTGCATGCATATGAGGCAACTGAAAATACCTTGACTTGGGTCAGGCTTAGCTTAGTGACATCTTTACTTTTTAACACTTTTGTTGTTGTTAAGTGCCTTCGAGTCGGTTCCGACCCATAGCGACCCTGTACAGGGTTTCCGAGGCTGTTAAATCCTTACGGGAGTAGAAAGCCTCATCTTTCTCCCGCGGAGCAGCTGGTAGTTTCGAACTGCTGACCTTAAAAGGTTCGCAGCCCGATTAGAGAGGTCTTTTGCAGCACATTCGCCATGTGGAATATGTTGTTTGATTTCTTGACTGCTGCTCCTATGGGTGTTGATTGTAGATCCAAGAAAAATGAAATCCTCGACAACCTCAGTCTTTTCCCCATTTATTATAATGCTGCTTATTGGTCCAGTTTGAAGATTTTTGTTTTATGTTGAAGTGTAATACATACTGAAGTCTTATATAGTCTTTGATCTTCATCAGTAAGTAGTTCAAGCTCTCTTTGCTTACACCAAGCAAAGTTGTGCCATCTACATATTGCAGGCGATTAGTGAGTCTTCCTTCAATCCTGATGCTATGCTCCTTCCAGAGTATTT